AAAAAAGTATCAAAATCTTTATTCGAAATATTATTAAAATATAAGTTAAATATTTTGTACAATATTTATAGTAAACAAAAAATAAATATTTGTAGTAACATTTTGTAAGTATTCCTATAAATAGTATATATAAAAAAATGTATATAAAAAATATATATAAAAAATATATATATATATATATATATATATATATATATATATATATATATATACATACATAAATATATATATATATTTTTTTTTTTCGTAACGTCGAAACGCGTACGCGTGCTTGAAAACATAGGAACGACAATATTGTAATTATCTCGCAAGTACACCTAGAAAATCTCGTCTCGACAGATGTTACTTTTACGAAGTCCATCGGCGATGGAGTTAATTTCGTATCGTGTGATATAGCAAGTATTCACATGCGTCATACCAAAGCTAGATCACTTGCGATAAGAATCTTTCTCAAGGCTCCTGGGTAGTCAGCCGAGAATTTTGCGTTGACGGCATTGTAAACAGCAAAATAATGAACTGCTAGGCGAGAAAATAGGTCTGTTCGTTTCTGGACAACTTCTGCACTAGTGCAGACTATTGCAACAAGAGAGAGAGTGAAAGAAAATGTACTTGTCTCTCTTTAACTTTTGCATTAGTGCAGAAGCCTTGGAAACGAACAGACCTAATGATGTAAACAGACGATCAATTTTTTTCTTGCAAACCACAATGTTATTACTGAGAGTAATATGTGTATGTCACATGTGACAATTATGGAAGTGTGTAAATGCTCCGGACACTGTGCTTATTATGATATTTCAGGCGTACAAGTAGTTTTTCAATCATATTCGACATCGAGTCGCATGGCTAATTTATTGTCAAAACGAGTTGATTTGTCGTATTTATTTTGCGGTTTTGTAAGAGTTATTTCGGTAAAAGTGGAGTGTCCGGAATATCTCACAAGTGTGCAGAATAGATTGCAAGTGTCATTTGAATGATGTATCTTTTTATTCGACAGATGAGGAAGTATTTAAAAGATATCCCGGAGAATATGGCATTAGAGGAAATAGTATTCGAGCAGTTGTTAAATGCAAGAAATACATTCTCTTGCAAATAAGTATTCTCATTTTTAAAACAGAGCAGATCAAAAACATCAACTCGATCGAAGCAAATTCGATGCAAATTTACAACGTATCTGCAATTAAGACAATTTATTGTGCTCATATTCGTCCAAATTAGTTCATTATTTTTAAGATTAGTCTTCTGAAGATTGTAATATGTGTTTCCATTTATATATATACATACATACATACATACATATATCGGATATATATACGTATATAAATCCAACATGGTCGTGGTGACTACCCGGGAACTTTAACCCTTTGCACACAAGATTGCGGCCGGCGTTACGGTTGACATTAACATTGTCCCGATTAACGTCGATGCTGCATTTTTGGCCGAGCAATTTTTAACTTTAGAAAGAGAGTGCGTGAGTGACTTTTACGCTTTTATTCACGCTGAAAACCTCAAGTTTTCTTTTCAGCGTGTATTTCATCACTCACAGAAGTGGATACCACTGCTTTTGATATTACTTGAATTCATTGTTGGGCAGTATGATCGATAAAAAAATTTTCTTTCATTAAAATAATAGAAAGAGAATACGTGAGTGACTTTTATTCTCGCTGAAAGCCTCAAGTCCTCCTTTCAGCGAGCATTTCATTATTCACAGAAGTGGATATCACTGCTTTTGATATTACTCGAATTCAGTGTTGGACAATATGATCGATTAAAAAAATTTTCTTTCATTAAAATAATAGAAAGAGAACGCGTGAGTGACTTTTATTCACGCTGAAAATCTCAAGTTCTCCTTCCAAAAAATTTTCTTTGATTAAAATAATCCATCAGCGATCCATACAATTATTTATTATTTTATATATAACAATTGATTAGTCTTGATGATTGATTCGCCGATCATTTTAGCGAGAAAAGATTTTTATCGATTAACCCTCCAGCACTGCTTGAGTTTGATATTTTGCTTGAGATATTATTCGAATGAGTAAAAATTATTATCCCCCTATCTTGAACCTATCATGAATTATCACTATCTTCCTAGGGTCAAGGCTCAAAAGTTACTCACGCTACCTTTCTAGGATTAATTGGATACACGCTATTATTACGATTTCGAGCGTCACGATTTATCACGCGGGCATAAGGTTTATCTCTCGCGCTGTCGCCACGCGTGTGCAAAGGGTTAATTAACGATCGGTTAATCTTTTCAGCCTTTCCGACGACGGCGCCCTACGGGCGTAAGCATAATTTAGTAATTTATCGCTAATTATTTATCGCGGCGTTATCGGATGTCCGTGAATCCGACTCTGTATTGAGATTGCAATAAGTTAACGGTCGTTATATGAAGAATCGTTATGCGAAGGATAACCGCGTCTTCGTTTTGTAAGAAGACATCCTCCGGGCTCAAGAGATTAAGACACATACATACACATACGCGCGCGCGCTATTTGATGCGCGTTAAACTTAAACTGATTTACGTGTTGTATGGCGAGAGATCGCTTTCGCATTGTGCAATCTCAGCAATCGTAGCCTTGCCACTGGCGTCACGTGCCCGAGACAAAAATGTTTTGTGATAGTGCGTAAAAGAAGAAGAAGGAGAGAAAGATTCGCTCGATTTCGAGAAAGTCGGTCCGAAAGCTCCTCGCGTTCGACCTACGTGTTACTTGCAGACGCGTTAACCGACTTAGCTTCAGTACTGACAATCCGACTCAACCAACTCTAGTTAACGTCTCGCTCTTCCCGTACGGATTACTATTTTACCTGTAATGCAGATATAAAATCAAAAGGAAAAAAGAGAGAAAGCAGAAAACACGAATGGCGGTGTTAATAGTCGTCTGACACTACGTAAGGTCTGATTTTGCAGGTTTGGCTATCCGAGAATTGTTAATGCAGACCTGTAAAGATTCTCCACCTCGTCGAATGAATTTCTTTCCGATTCGCGTAGTTTCTTTCTCTCTTTCACTCGAAAGAGGGATAAAACTGTGGTGCTACTACGAGAATTAGGGAAAGTCGCGCGCGCGCGCGCGAAAGAGAGAGAGAGAGAGTGAGTTCGGCGGAAATCTCGCGGATCGGAGATCATTCAGCCGAGCTGAATCGACCTCCGCGCTTGGATCACTCGATCCGGCCATTCGTCGCCGGATAAGTAACCAGAGTTAAAACGCTCACCGTCGCTAGTGGAGGCGATAATCGCGATGCTTTCTCGACAGGATTAACCTGGATCTACAATAGATGTAATCAGTCTTCAGCCTTATGCTGTAAGGTCTACAATTTCTGGCAAAAAGCATTTTTGCACCGCTTTAACGATTTGAATCTAGCTAACTCGCTTAAAGCTTGGAGATTATGACTTCAGGCAGCAGTAGAAAACGTTTGTAGTCGAAAATTACGCCACAGTTTTGGGCTTGGAGCATAAAGGCGCTAAAGGCTTGCTACACCCATTGTAGATTCGGACTTGCAATGAACACTACTGACATCACCAGAGCGATTTTGATTCGTATCTATCTTATTTAGTTTTTTTATGAAAAAATGTGGAAAAAAATGAAAAAAGATAAAAAATATTTATTTTTTGTTCTTAGTTCTTGTCCACTGGAGGGCGCTAAAATTAGAAAAAACGTTCCCTTAGCGTGCGATCCATTGGATGTTGCAAACAATTTGAAGTGCCTAAATAAAAGATATGATAGGTCTATATGGTGCTTTAAAGCATGTGCAGCGTTTAATGGATCGCATCCATAAAACGGAAAAATGAATATTGCTACGTTTTCCCTCATAAAAAAAACTGAAGGAAATAGGATAGGCGCGAGTCAAAATCGTTCTGGTAGTGTCAGTAGTGTTCATTGTTGGTTGAATGCGCCGACGACGAGGGGCGACGTCTCAGTACGCGGACACAAAATGCGTGACAATATATACCTCATTGCTTCTCGAATATCGCGCCGCGGTCTTTTGTAAACGTGGCTCAGACGGGTTTCCTCGTGTCGTCCGTCGAGACATGACGTCGCGCAAAGTTTGAAGTACGAAAGCGATGCAGTTTGCCGTTGACTGATGAGGTAGTCGCGCGAGAAGGGGCGCGTTTCTTCCATTCGATGTGAGCGAACATCGGTGTGAAAGACTTGTCATTTCTTCGTCGAATTCTGACACATGTGGAGCAATAATACTGCTTCGACACGCTTTGATCGAATGAATGGTGCTTGGAACTTACTTCGATCCTTCGTTTTGATATTTTTGCCTCTGTATTGGTAGCATGCTATGAGATCTGTTTCTTCGGTCGTATAGACGCGCCCCTAAAGCTTAATCTACAATGTGTTATTTGCCTCTTGTTTCTTTTTCTTTATCTCTTTCTGACTCACTCTCTTAAGCCTTTAACTAAAAAAAGACAGAACAAGAAACAGGAAGCAAAGAGCACATTGTAGATCAGGCTTAAGTTCTCAGACGCTTTTTAGAATAATTCGAGTGTGTAAACGCTCTCTCCAAAGAATCTCTGCTACGAGCGGAGGATGGAATATTTGAGTTTTGTTTTTTTGATATCCCGGCTGATGTGTGTCTGTTGTTGGGTAAATGGTACTATTGGATTGTTCGGGACAAGTTCATCGGACAGTTTCTTTGCGACAAATTCAAAGCCGATACTTTGACAGTTAGGCATATCTTTATTTTAGTTTTTCATTTAGTAACTCTCTGTGATCAATATATTATTTTGATGACGTCCGCCGTGTCTACAGCCCTCCCTGATAGTTGATGGAATGGTTATTTGATGAAAGAAGGAAAGGGAAAAAGTGATATCGCGAATAAGTTGCTGAAAAAAAATATCTAAAAAATAAGAAATATTTGTTTATAATCAATATTTATTCTAAATAAATATTCTCTTTACTTTTTCCCTTTATTCCCTTAATCCTGTTCAATTTTTCTCTTACTCTTCTTCTCCCTAATCTATTCAAAACCTCATTCC